GAGTTTGTAGGGCACCTCTGATAGGTCCTACTTGCCTTGCTTTCCCTCTGTTGTTTCTGCCTTTCTTTCTTACTCTTTCCCAGCACTAAATTACTGCTATTGTGTGGGTGGTTGACGGGTGCTCTGGTGTGGTTTGCTCCTTCTTTCCTATCAAACATCTATCGTCCTGATCTCTCCTTCTACTTTTTTGTGTTTTTTACTTTCTTGTAACGCTTCTAATCTTTGGCACTTAATATGTTTTCACTTCTAATGTTTCTCTCTAGTAACACTTCTAATCTGCAGCACTTTTATGACCTGTTTGTGTTTGCAAGCGTTGTAAAACTCTCACTAAGATAAACTAAACATCAAAACAGACTTTGTGCTGTTAAAGCTAGAGAGGTGAGCAGAGCAAGTCCGATTCCCTGTAAAGACTTCTCTGTTGACACCCATCCCTTGGCGCTCATATGACCTTATGCAGTTGCGAGCGCCGTAAAACCCTCTAGTATAAAAAAAGCCCAAAAAAAAAAACATGGAGCTTAATATGTTTTCATTTCTAATGTTTCTCTCTCTTCTTGTAACACTTCGAGTCTCCAGCACTTTTATGACCTATTTGTGTTTGCGAGCGTCGTAAAACTCTCACTAAGATAAACTAAACATCGAGCTGAATATGTTTTCACTTCTAATGTTTCTCTGTAGTAACACTTCGTAACTTCAGCACTTTTATGACGTGCTTGTGTTTGCAAGCATCGTAAAACTCTCTCTAAGATAAAGTAAACGATGAGCTTCATATGTTTTCATTTCTTCTATTCCCGTGTGGGGTGCAGGGAGGATGGCAAGAGCAGCATGGCCTTCTACACAGACCCGAGCTACTTCGCCAAGCTGTGGGCCGAGGAGATGGAGAAACACATCATGGAGAACAAGTCGGAGCTCAAAGTCAGACGCAAGAGGGTCAGTGAGAAGTTCTCGTCAGCGCTGCTCGTCAGCCTTTTTTACAGTTACAGCCTGCGCCCACTCTTGTAGCTCACTTTTGTTTGTAGACTTTGACTCATTGAGGATGTAGTTGGGTTGGGGTGTTATAACCATTCATGTGGGTGGTTGGCGGGTGCTCTGGTGTATTTTGCTCCTTCTTTCATATCAAACATCTATTATCTTTATCTCCCCTCCTTCTTTTTTGAGTTTGTTACTCCTTTGTGACGCCTCTATAATCTTCTGCACTTACATAACCTCATCGTGTTGCAAGTGCCATAAAATTCTTATGGAAAAAAAGCCAACAACCCGAAAAACATTCATATTTATTTTGACCATTTTGAGGGTATGGAAATAAAATGGCTTAAACAGATGGTGTAGTGAGCATTGTGGTGACAGTTATATAACACTGGAAAGGTAATTGAGTGTTGATGTTTACAAGTGTTGCAAAAACAATAGAATGGAAATAATGAGACACTTTGTACTATGTTCTGATTGTCAATTCCTTTTTTTTTTTTTTTTAAATTTTCTTGTAACACCCTTTTATCTTTAGTAGTGCTGTTTAAAACTTATTAATTAAACGCCTCAGTGGCGACATATCAGTACTCTGTTGAGACAAATCCTAAATCCCCTCTCTTCTGTACCACCTCCACCCCCACCCCACACCTCCACC